TTTTCATGGGTCATGGGATATTCTTCTTTAGATCACTGCTCCCCACGATACCCATACACAAACACTTCCAGCTTCGGGGCCAGTGGGCCCGCAGCGCAGGCGTACTTGGTGGTGAGTAGTGTATGTGGCTGTTGGAGTGAGGGCTGGACTTGGGTTCTGATTCTACTAAGGATGGCGGCATTGCCTGGACAAAGTGACTTGACATTCCTCCTGGCCTGGTGACAGGGGCCCTGGTGATGGAGCAGTAAAGTTGGCAGCCCCTCCGCCACTCCATGGAGAAAGGCAAGGCAGTCTGCTTCCATCAAGAGTGGCCGCCTTGAAACCTTGTGGAAGGGCAATTCTGCACAGTCCTACAGGGGTGAGAAGAATCCACGTGATGGCAGGGGTTTGTTTGGGGGAGGTCCCCGGTTATAGAGTCCCGAGAGGTGTAAAGACTTGACACACGCGGGTGAAAGGTAAGGCTGGAGGTTTAAGCCCAGCCAGAGGTGCCTCAAAGGAAAAGCCTGGCAATCCACTCCCCAAGAGCTCACGCTCCCACCGAAAGCCCCGGGAAGCACAGTTCCCCTTGGGCACACACAAGGTCACCACAAGTCAGAGTGTGCTTATTGTTAAGCCTCAGTTTCCTCCTCTCAGAAGCTGCAAAGAAACATCTCAAAGGACTATTCTGGATGCTTTCTAAAGTCTGAGCACCATGTGAGGCACATACTACCATTGCTATCGCCATCGCCATGGCCATCACGATCACCATTGCCATCACCATCACTGTCACCGCCCCGTCACCATCACCATCACTGTCACCGCCCCATCACCATCACCATCACTGTCACTGTCCCCATCTCCATCGCCATTGCCATCACTGTCCCCATCACCATCATCGCCCCCATCACCAATTTGAAACTCCTAGCCCTGAAAGGTCAGGTAGGAAAATCCCCTGCAGGCAGAACCAGGGTCCAGCGCCCCTTCTGTGATATGCTGTGTACTTCAGAGTCCAAAGCCAGCCCTCCACCCCACCTACAGGAGTTCCACTGGCCCAGAGACACCCTCCTCTGACTTCGCTGCAAAGGAAACAACGTGACAACATTGGACAAGAGAGAGGGGAGGTCTTTCTGGAGAAAACTTGAGTCACGACGGAAGGAGACACAACCCTGTGCACTCGAGGGGCTGGGAATTAGAAGATGCTTGCTCACCTCCCTCATTATCCTTGTTGTCAGCACAGGAGGTTTCCATGGCAACGTTGCATCCGGGCCCTCTCCAGCCGGTCTGGCAGACACACTGCCAGCTGTTCTGACCCAGTGTGCATCTCCCGTTGCCGTTGCACAAATCGGGGCAGCCATCTGGTTGGAGAAACGGAGAAGATGAGAAGAAGGGACATGAGGCCGCGCTGGAGATGCAGGGGAGCCATGCAGAGGGGGAGCCAGGCTGCAGGGCAGCCACGGAGCCAGCCTGAGAGTGGGGCTCTCGCCTGCCTTTGAGAGAGACAGGGGAGCAGGCGACACATGCAGTTGCAAGACACAGTAGGGTTGGAGATGCAGGGGAGGCCCAAGGACACTGACCTGTATGGAAGAGTCTGAGGCAACCTTCTCAACGTGGGGACTTCAATGCAAGCCCAGAAAGCTAGACCCGCTCTGTGCTTACAGTGCGAACAGCTAGACCGCTCTTTCCAGCCAGTAGCTCAGGATGGATGCTACTTAAAAGAGTACTCTTTTCCTTCTTGATTTCTCTCTCTCTTTCTCCAACCCTCCCTCCTACCCTCCTTCTGTCTTTGAGAAATGCCCTGTGCAGAAGGGAGAACATTCTCCATCAACAGCTGACAGAGGCACAGAGCCCTGGGCTTTCAGGGATCTTAACTGTGTAGTTACATATAATGACCGTGAGCCTCGTAGACTTGAGAAATGGGTAGTTGTGCTAGGCAGTTTTTCTGAATCTTGTAGCGTTTACTTTAAGGGGCACACTTGGGAAGGTTGGTCACTGATCACTCAACTTATTTGGATGCGATTTAAGTATATGAGTATGGTAGGATCTGAAGGCCTGTGGCATGAGCAGGGAGAGAGAGAGGCATGTGGAGTGTGTTGGGGTGCGAACAGGAGGGCTGGGTACTTCTCACTTTCAGGGTTACTTTCCTTGCTCCTTTTCCCCCTCGCCTTGGAAGCAGCCTACCCACGTCTTTCATTTTTTCCAGCACCAAAAGAACTGCGGCCATCACTTCTGGCTTGAACTGAGGCCAAGGGAGCAGGTGAGGGAGAGAGAAGGGGGGACATTAAAAAGAGAGGAGAGCCCCCTGGTAGAACACACTGTTAAGCATGTGGCTGCTAATGGAAATATTGAGAGTATGAACCCACCCAGAGGTGCCTCGGACCCAGGCCATCTACTCCCAAGAAGTCAGACACTGACCGTCCTGCACAGCCTAGTTTACACGCACCCGTATGGGCAGCCCCCGTGACTGGAGGTGACACTACAGCATGTGGCTCCAGAGTGGGAGAAAGGCTTTTCCCAGTGCAACTCTGATCCCCTTTATCCGGCTCGGACAGAAGCACAAAGCTGCCAGAAGATAGCCACGCTCTCAAAGCCCGCTGACTGACACACAGGCCTACCTCATGTGTCCATGTGTCCGTGTGTGTGTGTGTGTGTGTGTGCGCGCACGTGTCCCGTGTGTGTGTCCATGTGTATGTGTGTGTGTGTGTGTGTGTGTGTGTGTGTGTAGCAGTGATACTGTGGCATGCATTTCCTACTGTCAAGTTTATCTCCTTAAAGTATCCCATGCAATGACTTCTAGACGATTTACAGAGCGGTGCAATCTGTTTTCGGTGACTTCATTTAAATGTATCCCACAACCATGAATTAGCCACAGAAAGCAATGTCCTGCATAGTCCTCCACCTCCAAGTCCCTCCACCTCTGTCTGCCACTCCCTCTGTGTCCACCTCTCTGTGTGTGCGTTTTTATAGCACACAGAGGCAAGGGTGGCCGTGTGGCAGAAGGAGGAAGAGCTTTGTAATGATGGAGGAAAGTGAGTTGGAACATTTTTGGCCTAAATCTTGTGTGTCAAAAGCGTGTGTTGCCCCTGATTTTACTCCCTCGGATTCCAGAGGCCTCCAGGGAGCATTCTCTCTGTTCTCTGAAGCACCTCTCAGGAGCATGCGTGCCAACCTGATTGGTGCATGCGGCCTGGTGCAACTGAATGGGCACCTTATACAAAGAAAGGTCGACCCCTCAGATTCACTTCTTTAAGGAGAGCAGTTTTTCGCCCCCATGTTGAGTTCAGCAGGTGGTAGGGATTCAGCCCTGAGAGATCAGGGTAAGCTACGGAAGAGGAGATCTCCCAGGGAAGGCTCTGTAATGAAGTACCCCACACCTCACACAAGGCTCATCTCATGATGCAGTGTGGTCATTCACAACAATAGTAACACAATCTATCGTCTGACTATTTGGAGCATTGATGCTATTCGTGCGGCAGTTACAAATGCCACGGTGCGAGGGAAGAGCAACGTCGGTCGGGAGGGGTAAAATCAACTTGCCTTGGCTATGGTACACAGCGAGTTGGCAATTATTGACTGATAGACTTGGCAGTTGTGTTATGACGTATTCCAGTAGTTATGCAATGATGTAACCATCCTCCGGTTTGTGACCTGATGTGGTCATCCTCCACTTTCACACAATTCCCACCTTCAAATAATACCTGGTTTGTGGACCCTAACCATACGGGTAAGTGAAGAGTGGGTGTAGAAGGAGAGGAAGCAGGGAGGTGGCTCCCAGGGACTCCATTGTTTTTCACTGCACAGTCCAAGTCTAACGTCCTGATGCAAAGGAATGATCAGTGCTTGCCCGTCTCAAAGAGGGTGCCCTCAGCCTCGGTGATGATCTTTCTCACCGGTCCTACACTCACAGTTCCCGTCCTTCCCTTCCCAACGAGGCGGCTGTGCAGCCCTGGCAAACACTGTGGGGCCCGGTCCTGCTTCTCTGAGAGCGTGCTTGAAGGAGCAGTCCCCCCCCCCCCCCCCCCCCCCTCCCACCCCATTTCAGAAACATTTCCGCAGGAGCAAAATGGAACGCAGTAGGGAAAACCCAAGGGACATTTTACTGGTTCTCCAGGAAAAGAAAATATCTCCAACCTCTAGTCACCTCCAGCTTTACAATTTCCAGCAGTAGAGTTTTGGGGGATGGATCACAGAGAATATACTAAATGACAGACTGGCCAGCATTTGCTCAGCAGGGCATCTATAAAATGTGCTCTGTGATTTAGCTGCTTTGAGGCCTCCCATCTGAGCAAAATCATGCTCAAAGTCTCAGCAGTAACCTCATTGTGTAGGAAACCCACGTTCCCCCAAATAAAATTTAAATTTGCAAAGATCATGAGCAAGTCTGTCAGAGAGACACAGTCAAAATACGTATGTTCCTAGATGGAATAAGGTCCCCCGCCCATCCCCTTCCCTTTCTCTGAGTTTCCTTTTTTCTCTTTCTTTCCCCCACTCAGACCAACTGAAGTGAGATAAACAGGCCACAGTAGCGGGTTTTCTCCAAATTGTATGAGGAAGATGAAAACAGGAACAGTGGGGAGCTGGCAAAGCCCTGCGAAGTTTCAGGGCAGCTGGGAATTAATGGACAGGACTTTGCGTTCAGCTTGAAGAGGAAGAAAGCCACCTTGGTAGGTGCGTGGCGTTGCTAGGCAACCCCGAGTTACCCCCAGCACAAGTTCATTCTGCCGGTGGCCTTCAGAGGAGGCGATTCGTTGTGTTTGTAAAGTGCAAAGCCAGTTTCTGCTCGCAGAAAAACACCACGTAGGAAGTAATTAGTCTGGAGGGCAAATGGGTATCGGGCAGCAGTTTCCCTCTGGAGAGGATCCTATCACTGAAGTTGGATCAGGCTTATGGTCTCACACGTGGGGACCCAGGGGGTCTCCTCTAGGGGTCTCTGGGACATCAGGCTAGCCCTGCCACGACCACCAGGGCAGAATGCCTTAAAGGCACACCTGCTTGGTTGTTTGTACAGCTTGAGGGCTGAGTGCTCAGACTTCCAGTTCTGTCAGGGTCCTGAGCTGGTGGTTCTCAACTGGGGCGATTTCGTATCCCCTCCACCCCACTGACTGCGGCAGTAGGTATGCCCAGGGAAGGAGCTGGAGTGGCACAGCGAGTTAAGCACCGGGCTGCATGCGAACTGCAAGGCCAGTGATTCGAACCCACTAGCCATTTCCCAGGAGAGAGGCTTTGGCCTTGGAAGCTGCAAGGGGCAGTTCTAGGTCGGCAGGGTCTTCATGAGTAGGCACAGGCTTGGCAGCCGTGCGTTTGCTCTTGGTATTTGGTGCGTCCAGGGGTCCCCAAGTGGTGCACACAAATAGGGCTTGCTGACTAATCAAAAGGCTGCAGGTTCCAGGTCTCCCAGAGATGGCTCAGAAGGTAGACCTGGTGACCTGCTGCTGAAAACGCAGCCACTGAACCCCCCGTGCGCACAGTTCTCCTCTGCCACACACAGGACCGCCACGAGGGAGTGTCAGCTGGAGGGGAACTGGCTTTGGGTGCTTGCCAGGGCCCGCTGGCAAAGTCCAGAGACCCGCGTGGCTGTTGCAACTTGGGCAGAGGATTCCTGACATCTCGTGCCCAGAGGCCAAGGAGACTGCTCGGCGTCCTCAGCCCTTCACCACAAGGATGTGTCCGACCCCAAAGGTCAGGCGTGCTGCAGGTGAGGAACCCTAACCTAGAAGCAAAGCGCCAGGAGTTCTGAACCTTCAGTGCTCGCTGGGGGTCCTGGAGGCTGGTCCAGGCCAGGGATGTATGGGATGTATGTGGGAAGGAAGGGTACCAATCAGGGGGTGATGTCAGTTTGGCTTTACTTATAAGCTCTCTGAGGGTCGTGAAAAGACAGTGGGGCCTTCCCTCTCAAGCCCAAAGGTCTTCTCACCAGGAAAAAGTGCCCAGGCCATCAACACGGTCAGAGGCTGGCCACCACAGGCTTCCAACCTTCGGACATAGCTGACACTGGAAACAGGACGAGCAGAGGTCTTTCTATGCTGCCATGTGCCGGATCTCCGGGACTAAGGATGGACACCGTGGTAGCAGAGAATGGACGGGTCTCATTGAGACGCACTGCCAGCCAGTCCATTCTAACTCAGAGTGACCCCATGGGCAGAGTAGAGCGGCACCTGTGGCTTTCTGAAGCTTTACAACTTCGCAGGAGCCGATGGTCTCCCTTGGAGCAACTGGGGGGTTTGACTTGCTGACCCAGCGGTTCGTGCTCTGTGCCTAAGCCATTGCATCCCCACAGCTCCTCCTTGCAGCAGGGTGGGGATTAAAAAAATGCAAATAGATATACACACCAAACCACATCTTTACATTCTGGCCACTC